TTAGTGTTCTATACTGTACAACTGAAATCAGAGAAAGAAGGAAAGAAGAAAAGAAGAATAAAGGAACAGACAACGGTGGGCTGCTACTAGAGATGGGCGGGGATAAACCGTTGGGGATATCCGCTATCCGCTGGCGGATACCCACCAGAGGATGCGGATGTCCTTTCCCCCCCCCCCCACCAAATCCCGGCGGATATTGGGGTATCCCCTGGGATACCCGAGACCAATGGCCGGCTGGAAGGGTTTCCTTCCAGTCGGCGAGGCATGTACCTTGTCGACTGGAAGGGTTGCCTTCCAGCCGGAGAGGCATGTACCTCGACAGATTGAAGGAAACCCTTCTAGCTGGCAAGGTACATGTACCTCGCCAGCTGGAACTTGGAAGGGAAACCTTCAAGCCGGTGAGGAACATGCCTTGCTGGCTGGAAGGCAACCTTTCCAGCCGGCAAGGATGTGCCTCGCCGGCCATTTAGAGGGCGGGTATCCGAGGATATCCGCTCGGATACCCGCTAAGGCGGGGGGATATCCGCCAGGGGATGCGGATGCCGCTTTCCCCGGAAAAAGCAACCGTATATCCAGATGCAAAGTGCCCATCTCTAACTGCTACACTAACCATAGAGGTTAGTGTAGCATAACACAGCGGAATTCCTGTTAGTGTTAAGCATAGCACAGCAGAATTCCGCCACGGCACCACTAATGCTACGTGTGTGGGCCGCAAAAAAGGGCCCACTACGCTGCGCTACAGCACCTTTTAGCGCTTTTTGGCCACTTTTGCCGCTAAAAGCACTGTAGCACAGCGTAGCGTAGCGAAAATCCGCCAAAAAAACCCTAACATACATTTTTTTGATGCAAAAAATGCGCCGCTACGCTACACTTTTTGGGCCAAAAGCGTAGCAGCCCACAGCTGGAACAGATGAATGAAGAACAAAATGATTGCAATCATCTAGGCCAGTAGAAGAATGATGAGTTTTCTCTACTGAACTAGAATGAAGTTGGCTTGGGAAATTTTGAGTATTTGGAAAGTCTTTATGATTATGTGATACCTGGTTATTGTTCAGTGACACCTGGCCAGGGCTCACAAAATCTATTTTGGTGAAAATCCTTTGATGTTTCTGATCCTAGTGATCAGAGGACCTGAATAGAAATTGAACATCAAAACCAAACCTTGTTTTAAAGCCAGTTGCTTCAAAAGATTTTTGCAGTCAATAGATGGAAAATTCAAGGTGATATGATAATATTTGATCTAGTAATTTGCAACAGCAAGACATTCAAGACACATTTAGTTAAGCTCTTGGAATTCCTATATACCTGGCTGAACACCAGCCATCCTTCTCAAAATTTTTCAACCTGGACCATGATATCTTTCCCGGCAACTTCTAGCACCTTTTTTGAAAGAATTCTGAATCTTTACTCCACAAAGCTCCCAATTCATAAATCAAAAAATTGTTTGAGTGTTCCATTCTCAACTCTTGAACCTTTACATACATAGAAGGGAGTTAACTCAAGATCCATTTATTTCTTTGCATGCTGTCATCAATTAATATTTCCCCATTCTTCTGGCCAGCCACTCAGTCCTAAAAATACTTATATCTTTCCACAGACCACATAAGATATATAGTTGAATGAATATTTTCAGCTCATCCCTTTAGCTCATGGGTCACTTTGTAGCTCCCATTTCCCAAACCAAGGCCTAGAAATAGGACCCACAAAGTGAGCAGATCCAACAAGATTAGAATGTAAAGAAAACATATAATAAAATAAGATGGAAAAAGTAAGAAGGCAGGGAACGAGGCATGAGTAAGAAGCTGAAATTCCAACACTTATGCAGGTGATATAATCAACACAAGCACATTGCTGCATCAGGAAGCGCAGTCACTGTGCACAAACTCTCTCAAAACCCCCAGACATGGAAAATTTTGAACACCCCCAAATCTTCGAGACCCTCCATCGGCCTTATGGTCTAGTCGTATGATTCTCCCTTTGGGTGGCTTCTGCTGCGAATCTGGGAGAGGTCTCGGGTTCAATTCCCGATGAGGCCCCATCTTTTTTCGTCCTGAGAGCCCGAGGTGATGCTGACAAACACTTTGAAGCCCATTGTGTTGGTTGTAGGATTTTTACGCGGAATGAGTACACCAGTCTTATCCGATTGGTATAGCCATTTTATTGAAGAATAGGAGGACTCCTTAGAACTTCGCACCGTGCTTCACTCTTGTTTTTCTGCTATGCATGTTTATTTATGCACAAAGCAATTAGATGAAAGTCTCCGAATAGTGCTGATGACCACCAGCTCTGCCTTTGAAGTGCGAGTGCCACCTCAATGCAAGATGGTGAGCAGGGAATCGGAACCACTCGCAGAGCAAGAGGGAATTTTCCAGTAATGAGAGTAACCCAAGATTTTGACATATTTGCTTACTTGGGAAGTTGAGAGCAGCTGTAGCCTGTGGTCGCGAAGAAGATATGGTTCAGAGGTTTGGCGGAGCATAGATACAGCACAACATTCGGCTGAGTATAACAAAACCCGGTGCTTCGGACCAATGATTGTGATTGACTTCGGTGTCGTGCAGCGGGTCATGTGCCAAGGAATGGCATGTACTCAAGTTCTATGTAGGCCAGCCCTATTTATGAGAACGAGGATATGAAATGGACGTGATCGATCCAGTCACCAAGAAGCCTCTCTTCTGGTCGCTCAAACTCTATATTGACAGATGTTCTTCAGCTTGTGTGCAACACTCTATACGTGCTGGGAAAGACGGCTTTCGTATGTGATTGATCGGGAAAAGAAAACGTGCACTATCTATCTCTCTGTCTATCGACATAGCTTCTTTACGCTACTCATGCGATCTTCTTTCTCTCTCTGATGCTCTCTATCAAAAAGACATATAGATGTGTAATCCAAAAAGGGAACATGACAGATTAGCCAGATAGATTTTCTTTCTTTTCTTTCTTTGGGAATCAAATTCTAGGTTACTCGACGACCAATCAAAGAAGAACAAAAAACTTGAATGAGAAAGATATCACTTTGGGGGGGGGGGGGGGGGTTGGATTTATTAGGCAAAAAAGAGGACTACTGGGTGTTAGATTTAACAGAAGATAAGATATCAAGAGCCTTAATTTGTCTTTGACGTTCCTGAGCGATGAGATGATTCTGCCAATCGGAGTTGGAGTGGGAAGCCGAGGAAGTCGAGGAAGAAGGTGGACTAGTAGAGGGAAGACGATTAGAGAGAGAAGGTTGCCGGTCTTGAATGGAGAATTCCGCAGGCTTAAGACTGATAACTTTCTGGTCTTTCTGAGCCTCGACGAGTTGGTGTTGAAACTTCCAACCATCCTTAGCAATCGAACGAAGATGTTTGACGAGTTTAGAGACCTCGGTCTTGTATTTGATTCCTGGTGTGGGGACGAAAGTGTGAGTAGAAGAGGCCGGGCTTGTCGGTGTCTTGGGTGATGATCCCAAGGGCGATGATGAGGATGGAGACAGATCATCGTCGCTAGTGCTCGATTCTTGTAGCTCGTTGGCCGTTTCTGGCCAATTCACGATCCGCATCAGTTGTCGATCAACGCCCTCCGGTAAGACTAACTGAGAGATCGCAAACTGGATCTTTCGGATCGACCGATAGAGTTGGTCGAGTTCCTCCGACCTAGGGTACTTGAATGTCTGGCAAAAGATCGACCAATCTATCTTCTCTCGATCTTCTTCCGAGCTCACCACCCCAAACTCCTTGTCCTCCAGTCCTCCACCTCGTACGATCCGCGCCTGATGACTCGACTCAATGTCAATGTAAGACTCCTCAACTATCTCCCCATCTAGGTAATTATAGTTCTTGTAATGGAACGTCGTGTAATCTTCCGGAGGCTCTCGACTTGTGATTTCCCCTTGATCCGGCGAAACAAACACCCACAAATTTCCGTGGCTTTTGGCAGAAGTAGTAATTCGAAGTGACTAGGGTTGAACAAACAACGTCTCAAATGAGCATTCTATCACTTACAAAAAAGAATATGATTAAGAAAGCGTACCTGTTCAGGATATGCTTGAGTAGCGTCTTCAAGAATCCGTTCCATATAACCCAAACATAACTTGAAGACTTTATCGCCTTCTTGTGAGTTTCCAAACAAGGCTTGATCCATCTTAGAGATTGGAAGATATTCGAATCCGAAGACGCGTTGGGTATTGTGGTATGCGACAAAACATCCATCCATTTGTCCTATTCTTGCCTGGAACCTATTACAAGGTAACATCTTGCTCAATATTGCTGCGAACGAAATAATAGGAAAAAGAAACTAAATGAAATGTCGAGGATGTGAAATACTCAACTGGTATTTCAAGAACGCTGATCGGATCAAATCCAAATATTCTCTTTCAAAAGATTCTAATGGGCCTTGAGAAGTACGTATTTGATACCCTGCTGCGTTCTTTTTTTTAAATCCATCGATGCCCCACCCCCAAAGAAAGATGAGCACATGACCTGAAAAAGAGAGAGAGAGGAAAAATAAGACGTACGGCATGGTTCAACCGATCATGCCTGATAGCAATCGTCGCACGGGTCTTGATATCGAAAGTACCGTTTCCGGGCAAATAATGATGATAGCAATCCAGTTGGGATCTAGTCATCAACAGATTTGTCTGTCAAATAACCAGATAACGTAACTCCTTTTAACCTCTTTTTTTTTCTCTCTTTCCCTATCATCCCTCCTGTTTTTTCTTTTACAATAACGAACAACTTTTTTTTTTGGGGGGGGGACATACTTTGGCAAACGCATACGCCTCCCGTAGTTTCGGCTTCGATGGATCTAGTAAATTCGCGTTCTTCTTCAACAGTTTCGCAAACTCCTCATATGGTAAAACGAAGAATTTCTCCAAGACATGGCCCTATAAATATCAAAAAGTTAATGGATTTTGGAGGTATGGATTTGGGTGGGGGTTTCCTTCAGTCAATGAGATGAGATACTTACTAGACTTGAGAGAATTGTTGAATCTGGACAATCCGTTTCAGTATCAAACGATTTATCTGAATCGATCGAATATCGTTTTGTTTCGGGATCATATTTGAGAATGATTGAAGCGGGCATTTTGGCACCAGGAGTGAATTCGACTTTTTTCTATCAACAGAGAAATGACACAATAAGTTAACAATGATGGTTAAAATTGAGCGCAAAGTGGGAAAGTGGCGGAACCTTTGTCGAAGCTGCATTAGCGGTCAGCATGCCGATATTCAAAGGTTTGTTTCCGTTTAACATGAGGTAGATCTGACTTAGAGTTTGGGTCATACTACTAGTACTACCGCAATATTTACGCAAGTTTTGATGGGCGAGTTGGACGAGTTGTTCATCTCTAGAGCTGGTGACGTAAGGCGTTAGGGCGTCGAAGTTGAACTGATCGGGAGCGACGAGGTCCTGGAGACGATGATCGAAGTTATAGACCAATGTGCGCGGATCTTGGAGCCAATGCACGCCAGGGTTAAATAGCACTCGGGAAAGGCCATGGGCCAGTGTGGCTACTGGTGGTTGTGGTGCGCTGGGTGTGACGGCCTCGAAGGGGATGGAGGAGGATGAGAATGAGAAGCTGGTATATGGTTGGGTTGTCTGTGAAGAGCTTGGTTCGGGTAGTTGTGTGAGATCTAGGGATGGGTTCTTGGTCAATCGATCCGTGGCTAGGGAGTCTTGTTCATCTTCCTCCTGTCCACGTTTTCCATTTCGTTTACTTAATGTTGAGAATGGGGTGATCGATCTGGGTGCTTTAGGTGAATCGAGTTGGTTGTTCGTACTACTGGAATGTTTGTGAGTCCTCTTGGGATGATGATTATCATGGTTGCTTGTCGTAAGTTTCTTCCTGCTCGGTGGTAGATTAGTTGATCCTGATGAGTGAAGACTGGCTGAGTGATTCTGAGGTTGGTTTCTGGTTGTTTCTGATTTTGATATCTTGCTTGCGCTCGTTTTGTTAGTCTTTGTCCTTGGATGTGGTTCTTGGGTAGCTGTTGTCCTCTTTGGTAGGGTGGAGATGAATGGGCTGGTCTGTGTACTGGTTGGGTTGGTGCTCAGGTTCCTCCTGGCTATCAGCTCCTGAGTTCTTCCGTTCCTTGCTAGTGAGTTGATGAGTGTGAGCTTGAGCTTGGGATGGTGAGTTCTGAGGTAGGTCGACATCAAGATGGGAATTTCCTCGTGAGGTGGATGTATGCTGTTGACCGTTTGGTTCTTGGCAGGCAGTATTCTTGTTGACCATCTCCATCTTGCCTGCTACTCAAAAAGTGGGTCAACTCCACCAGATAGACCACCCTCGAAGAACAGCAAGCCCCCCTCGGAACCCCAGTGACATCCCAAGCTCACATGTCACACCACCTGTTGGACAATGGACATCGATCTTCTGGCCATCTGAATTGCTAGCTGCTGCTTTCCGGGTCTTCCCCTGCCGTCTGAAAAGCTGCTATTTAATTGGTTTGTTGAGGAAGAAAGTCCCCAAATATTGGTATACACAGGCATCCCCCCTCTTGTGTTAATGACTTGCATTGGCTCTTTGGTGAAAATACCACTATCAAATTGTTCCAATCTGGTCAGAGGGCTTCATGTTTTTAAATCCAGGATCTATTATAGCATCCTTATCTCTTCTTTTTATCTAGGTGCTACTAATCAATTCTAGTAGTTGGAGCTTGACTTGAAATAAAATCTTCAATGTCATTGGAGACATTTGATTTTGTGTTTGGAATGCACTCACTGTTTAAAATGAGCCCCTGACTCCATCAGCATCAATTTTGAGGATATCAGCAGCGGTGGGCCGCTACGCTACGCTACGCTTTTGGCCCAAAAAGCGTAGCGTAGCGGCGCTTTTTTTGCGCCAAATTTTTGTAGTGTTAGCGCTTTTGTAGCGCATTTTCGCTACGCTACGCTGCGCTACAGCGCTTTTAGCGGAAAAAGCGGCTAAAAACCGCTAAAAACGGCTGTAGCGCAGCGTAGTGGGCCCTTTTTTGTGGCCCACACGCGTAGCGTTAGCGGTGTCGTGGCGGAATTCCGCTACGCTACGCTTAACGCTAACGGGAATTCCGCTGCGTTACGCTACACTAACCGCTATGGTTAGTGTAGCGGCCCACCGTTGATATCAGTGGCAAACTTCTTTGAAGAAGTTGACTCAGGTGTATGATTAAATGTCAGCTAGTAATTCAAAGATTGACTGACTTTCTTTTATTTGTAATATTATTTGATTGGAGAAGAAGCCTCAGCTCTACTCACCTTCCAAATTTTTTCAAGGCAGAGGAGCATTTGGATGAATTCTGTAAAGTGAGTTTTTTTTGAGACTACAAAGCAGCACACTGTGAAAAAATCTAAAGGAACTTCTGCCAGCTGGAATGCAGAAACTTCCTTTGAAGCTGGGTGGTTACTCAGATGTTACTCAACCATTGCCTCAGCCATACTTCGCTGCACAGTCACTGGGTACCTTGCACAGTTACTGTGTGGAAATTCTTGCATTAGAATAGATTAAAGTATGAAAGAAGTTACATTGGGGGTAACCTGAATGTCAACTGCCACCATTTTGGTGAGATTTTTTCATAGTGGCAGTAGCTGGGGCGGGAGAAAAATTATCTCCATGGTAGATTTTTGTCAGTGATTCAAGTAGATCAAGACAGTGCCTTCTGGAAGGCTTGAAGCAAGAGTAGACATCCTCATTCCTTATGATATTTTAATCAATCAGAAGCTCTTCATAGGTGTTGGGGAGAGTTATGTCATCCCATTCCAAGAAAAATTTGACATCTACTACAGGCTTTTGGAGACTGAAAAGAGTTTGATTTGCTGTGAATTGATCATAATTATTGATTTTTAAATGACATCATTTTACATTGTAGGAGTATAAAAACTACAGGGCATTTGACCACACTCCCAAGCAGATCAAGATGCAACTGGGTTGTGCCAACCTACAGGCCACCTCTAAACCAATTGGAATCGGGCCAAGTTTGGGCATGTTTTAGACCGAGACTTTAAAATTTAGACAAACTTTGTATCTACTCTAGGTTGGGTTCAGTTAGCCTCTACTGAAACAGGTTGACCCAAGCTGAGAATTACTTGCACCTATGTCAAGAGTCAATGGTATACTGCAAAACAAAAGCATTTGACAATTTAAATCAGTGGAACAAGAATTAAATAAAATTTCTGCTGGGTGCCTTTCCAATAACAGGTTGGCCTGCCAAAACAGCCCAACTCAAATACACCTCACAGTGTTAAGATGGCCCCATGAGACCCGGGTACCAGTTGCTTTTTTGGCCAAGCACCGGCACCAGGTACTGCACCCAGCACTATCTGGCGGGTACCAGCCATACTTGAAGCGGGTACCAGCCATACTTGAAGCGGGTACCAGTGGTGCTCTGACCTTGGAGCCCGGCTGCCAGAGATTCTTCCAGGCAACCTAGTTGAGACCAATCAGATTTCCAAAGAGGTTCCTTACCAGCAACCTGATTGGTCTTAATCAGGTTGCTCAGGAGGCCTCTCCAGCAACGGTGGGCCAGTTACACTAACCGTAGTGTTAGTGTAGCGGAATTCCACTAAACTTTAGCGTAGTGTAGTGGAATTCCACCACATCTTGCACTAACACTACGCGCATAGGCCCCAAAAAAGGGCCCACTACGCTACACTAACACACTGGTTAGCGGTTTTCTGGCCCTGTAGCGCTGTTAGCGGCCTGTAGCGCAGCGTAGCGTAGAAAAAATCCAATAAAAATCCACAAACACTACATATTTTTGGTGTAAAAAAAGTGCCGCTCCGCTACGCTTTTTGGGCCAAAAGCATAGCGGCCCACTGCTGTCTCCAGCAACGTGGCAGAGACCAGTTGGTCTTGTTCAAGCCACCAAGGAGACCCTTAAAGGTACCAGGGTACTTCCTGCTTTTTTTTTAAATCAGGCAGCAAGTACTGCACCTGGCACCAACTTAGCAGGTACTATCAGGGGTAGGGGGGGAACCCACCAGTGGGTGCCGGGTACCCCAAGGCCATCTCTATCAGGGTTTAAATGGGAAATTTCAGGCCAAAAAAACAGTGCCTGAACCTGAGCCAATATATTCCTTGGTTGGGTCAGGACAGAAGTTGTGCTGCCCAAATCTAAACTAGAGATGGTCGCGGATAATCCGTTGCGGATATCCGTTATCCGCTGGCGGATACCCGCCAGTGCCAACGGATACCCGCCAGCGGGTGCGGATTCGGGTGCGGATGCCCCCTTCCCCCTGGAATCCTGGCGGATATCCGGGTATCCCAAGGGATATCCGCCCATACAGGAGGCCTTGGGAGGGCCACAGGCTGTGAGAAACAAAAGAAAAAATGGAAAAAAGGAAAAATAAAAGAAAAAATGGGGCCTTAACAAAAAAACATGGTTTTTGCTGCGTGCACTGCGCAGCAGACACATTTTTTAATTAATTTTTTACTGCTTGTTTTTTATTATTTTTTGAAATTTTAAATTTATTTCTTATGTTTTAAGGTGCGTAGAATTTAATGGTAAAAAGCATTTTACATAAAAATTAATGGTTCTTTTTGAATAATGCAATTAGACACATTTTTTTAATTAATTCTTGACAGATTGATAATTAATTTTCATTATTTTTTGACATTGTAAATTTTTTCCCTTAATTTATTTTAATTAATTTTGCCAGCTTAATTTCCATCATTTTTTGAAATTTTGAATTTATTTACTACACTTTGAGTAGTGTCAAAGCTTATGGTATCATTTATTTTGACAAGAAATGAAAGCTTCAATCTTAATATATGAGTGTACCCCATTTATTGCATAATTAAATTATACAAATATGATAATTTGTACCGTATACCAGTTTTATTTGTATGCAAAGTTGATATAACCATCCATTTTCAAAAAATAATGAAATTTAATCCTGTAAAAATTTACATGAGTTAGCTGCAAGAAACAAAAAAAATTGCAAAGGAAAAAGGAATTAGATTTTTTCCATATTTTTGGGAGGGTCACAGGCTGTGAGCAACAAAAGGAAAAAATAATAAATAAATAAAATAAATAAATAAATAAAAAACAAAAACTTAAAACCGCTTTGCCAACTGCTCAACAAAAAAAAATTCAAAAGCAAAAAGAAATATAATTTTTTCCATTTTCCATATTTTTTGGAGGGTCACAGGCTGCAAGCAGCAAAGGAAAAAAAGTTGAAAAAATAAAAATAAATTGAAGGCTTGAAGGCCGCAAGAAATTCAAAATCAGTGTTTATGCAGCTTTCTGCATCTGAAATTTCCCCAAGGAACTTTCATTTTGTAGCCTGGGTGTCATTTTTGGGGCGGATATCCGCGGGTATCCGCGCGGATACCCGCCAGGGCCAGCGGGTATCCGCCAGGGGATGCGGATGCGGATGTGGATGTCTGATTTGGCTGAAAACGTGAGGGGATATCCGAATCCGAACGAATATCCGGATGCGCCGGGCCCATCTCTAATCTAAACTGATCTTGGGATGCTTCAGGTTTGGGTAGGGCAGCATTGGATTATTGCCAACCCAAAATCTTTTTCAGTCTGGAAATATTAGTGTGTAACTTTGAAATTCCCCTTTCATCCCTCACTAAAATTATTTATAAAGCAGTTGCTGCAAGACTACCACCTCTAAATAGTATCCAATCAGCTCAAGTGCTTGCCAGCTGCTTCTCAGAAATTTTCATTGCTTAACATTTCCAAGCTATAACAGCTTATCATCTGTTATAATCTCCTGTTATTTGTTTCATTGGAAACATTCAAGCTTAAAGGAGTGTGGACTTAACCTTTGTGGAATTTGGACCACATATAAAGGGTGAAAAAGAGTGAATTTTTTCTTTGATAGTCCTTCAGCACAGTGATAGCACCTGGTTTTTATATTAGTTAAACCAGTGTAGCATACACAAAGCTGACACAAGTATTTTGATAAGTTTTTATTGTATCTGTTTTTCAATACAACACAGATCCAATGTATTTGGAGAAAACTAGATACAGATAGTTTTCACCTTTCATGGTGTTCCAATATGCATATGTAAAGTTTACTTAATTCTACTTGAAAGCATACTTCACAATTTTGGCTGGGAACTGTCAATTAGAGTATTTAGTATGCTGACAGGCCCCTGGCAAATCTCACTTTTTCATTCTTTTTGTACTAACAACTTCATATTCATATTTGAACACCATATTTGCCACAGTCTGGCCAACAGTGGGCCACTACACTAACCGTAGCGGTTAGTGTAGCGTAACGCAGCGGAATCGCTGT